AATAGAGTGAAAGGGAACACTTTCCAACTTGTTTTAGGTGGTCAGCATTATCTTGATCTCCAAATCAAAGATAATACTTTTAAAAAACTGAAGTCAAATATCCTTCAAGAACAAAAAACCTTTATAGAATTTTGGCAAATTGAGTGTAGTTATGTCTATAAAGGACAGTACACCATGATCATTTTTCATGGGATTTATCTTAGAAATAAAAGGTTGGTTTAACATTTGAAAATCAGTCATTATAATTGACTATACAAACAGAAGAAAATAAAAAATATGATTATTGCAACAGATGCAGAAAAAAATATTTGACATGGTCTAACATGATTCATGTTAAAATTATTCAGCTAAATGTGAATAGATGGGAACTCTCTTAAACTAAAAAGAATATCTATAGAAACTTAAAGTGAATATCATATTTAAAGGACTGATTCCACAGATTGGGAATAAGACAAGGTTCTTCAATTTCACCACTTTTACTCATCATTTTATTCAATATTTTAGCCATGAAGAAAAGTCAAGAATATGAAACAAGAGACATACATAATGGAAAAGAAGAAGTAAAATTGTTTTCATATTCAGATAACACGAATATGTATGCAGAAAATGCTAAGGAACCTACAAAAACATTATAGAACCAAGAAAGGAATTTAGCAAGGTTGTTGGATAGAAGCTGATTATGCAAAAGTCAATTATATTTGCACATATTAGCAATTTGATTTTTAATAGACTCAAAACATGGAATACTTAGGGCAAAATCTATCAAAATACGTACAAGACCTGTAAACTTTTATGAAAATTATACCTCAATAATTGAAATATACTGATGGATTAGAAGACTCTGTATTGTTATGACATCAGTTCTTCCCAAGTTGATCCATATATTTAACCTTATGCCAATCAAAAATTGCAGATGTTTTGGAAGAAATGTTCAAATGGATTCCAAAATATGCATATTTGTGCAAAGGAAGAACTGTGACTCTTACATTGCTGGTGGGAATGCAAAATGGTAAAAGAACTTTGCAAAACAGTTTGAGATATTTATACAAGGATCCATTTATAACACAACCCAGTAGTTATACTCCAAGATATTTACCCAAGAGAAATAAAACTATATATTTATACAAATACTCGCATGTGAATACAAACATCTTTATTCATAATAGCTCAAACTGAAATTAACCTAAATGTCGGTGACAGGTGAATGGATAAACAAAGTTTGTTTATATTTATGCTATAGAATACTCCTCAGTCAAAAAAGAATGAACTTCTGAGAAAATGCAATAATATGGAAGCATCTCAAAAACATGCTGACTGAAAGAAGCCAGACACAAAAGAGCACATATTGTATTATTCAATTTCTATACCATTTTAGAAGAAGTGACACATGACTGTACATTCACATTATTGTGCAACCATTACCACCATCCATTATGAAACTTTTCCATTTTTCCAAACTGAATACATTTGTTTTTAATGTGGCATTAAGCAGGTAAAGGACATACATGTAAAATGCCAGGATCTGACTTTTAAGGTGAAGGTCACATGTGAATGACTTAGATTGAGTTTTAGAGACACTATCTGCTTATACTGAAGCTCACCTATCCTCTAACCTCTGTTTAAAGTTAGCTAGTCCCTTGATGTTATGTATAATATTCTAGAAAAAAACCTGGGAGCCAGAATTAGGTTTTATTAGGGGTTAACAGTTATTTCTTATTACTGCCATTTTCTTTCATATGAAAGAACCTATTAATATAGTATTAGCCTCTTTCTGCTATTGGACTCACTTTTTCCCAGGAAAGAAGTTACTTTCTTATCTAATTGGTGAATTTTGGAGAAGAGCTTCTCCCTGTCTTTTTTAGATCTGCCTGACTGCAGAACCTACATGTTCTCCTGCCCTTTTCTTATTTGATACAAACCTTCATCTACTGGTCCAATCTGTGTTTTTCAGTTTAATTCTGAAGTTCAGATGTGAAAACTAGTTTTGCAGCATATTTAATTTATGTTCTCCAACTTCAACTTCAGTAGTTTTAAAGCTTACATTTACATTTTGCTTTTCTGCTGTCTGACCTTTACTATCCATCTCTCAGTTGGTTCTGGATGCTTGTGGAGAACTGAGAGTGTTATATATTTGTCTCCTCAGATCCTAAAGGTTACCTAGATGGATTTCCAATGTAAGATGGGTAGTTCCACCCTCCTTTTCTCCAGCCTTGTAGGTACACTTGGCCAAATATCTGCTGAAAGTAGAGGTACTGCCAGAATGCTGTCAGCTCTGGCCAAGGAGCCCTTCTTCAGGAGCCACCAAACCTGGTAAAGCGAAGAGCATATCATCACCTTTCCTGGGTGAGCTCCTTTGTGAATACTTATAACTATTCAAGGCAAAGGCCAGGGCGTGGGCACTTCTTCTGGAACTTTAACCCTTCTCTATACCTAAGAACAGATTTTCCCAGCATCAGGATGGTTTCACTAGCCCTGTCCTCATTTTGTAGAAGGTAGAACTGAAGCATAGAGAAAGCAAAGCTATATATTTGCTCACATAAAAAAGTTTTCTTTCCATTTTGCCTATAAAACTCCACTTTTAAGTAAGAAGTATGTATATTTCAGTGCAGTCTTCTTCAAGAATTATCTTGAATACAATTGTTGGAATATGAATTCGGCAGTTTACAAATAAAGATGTCACTTAATCAAAACATTCAAAATCAAGGTCCCAATATGAGAATCCTACATTCATGTATAACCTATTTGACTACCTGCTTTTCTCAAATGGGTTAGATGGATTTTTAAAAATTTTCCATCTCCATCATTTTGTGCATTCAAAACATCTTGCCAAATCTTGTAAGTAGACATCTAGTTTTACTAGTCCACTAAACTTTTTTTTAGCAACCTACATTCCAATGAAAATGTCCCCAGGTACTAAAAATGAAAATTGGTATTATCCAGTTATCTAATACAAATCATTTACATTAAAAAATCAGTGGGTGGCTATTGGCAAGGCAGTACGTAGATTTAAAAGGGAAAACAGTAATACCAATTTTGGTATTATTAGTAATTGAGATGGATATTACATGCTTTGGGAACGATTTTTGTATTACATGTCAAATCCCATTACAAAATATGTCATTATAATTAAAAGGTTCATAGCAAAAAGGATGTCCAGACCCCTGGCCAGTGGCCCATTTATTTCAAGCAACATTCAATACAAAATGAAGACATTTCCACTGCCTTTGGAATTCATTGATACATCTGGCTTGTATTGCCATACACTTCCTGCCAAAGGATTCACATCCAGTGCACGTTTTCCATGTATTGATCCTGGAACTACATTCTTCATGATCCCTTTCCACACTCCTTTGAATTCCCTCTTCACATTCCTCCTATGCTCTTGAACTAGACTATAGCTTTTATTTCTAATAAAGTTTTCAAAATGGGTAAAAAATATTTAAGGCAAGCCAGGAATTCTCTAAGAGCTTTGGTGAGATCTAATTATTCCAGATGATAAAACATTGCCTTCAAATACATGTCAGGATTGAGTAGTATAATCTGCTAATATCTAAGGCATGCAAGTCTCCAATCACTTTGGTCTTTGGGCTTTCAAGAGGATTGATTTAGATAGGCAAGTGTTCCAGTGCTGAATCAGAATCCAATTTTAATGACAATTTTAGCATCTCTGGGGAAAAATGGAGCCAAGGTATAGTACAAATGTTCAACTGAACACATCCCCAGTATAAGAAGTAGCATGTAAACATCTCTTAGGAATGAAATTTTCTTTCTCAATCAAGCGATTTTACATACAAAAGTTGTCACCTAATTTGTAAAGTGCCACAACTAGAATAGGAGGAACTAGATCTGAAAGAGAAAGTACTCACTGGCATTCAGATGGACAGAGTAAGAAAACACTTGAATGACTTCTAAGTTCGATTAGAGAGGACATCTGAAGCACAAATGTTGCGTCACTTCCGATATAATGGGGACTTCGGGAATTTGCAATTCTACTTATTTATCAGAGGCCAGCTAAAATGCTCCCCATGAATCTCGAAGTCAAGTATGCACATCCAACATCCACAGTTCTTTATTTTACTCCCAGAGGTTTTCTAGACTGACCATTGGCGGCTCTCAAGAGACAGAAGGGAAATAACAGCTTCTGTTCTAAGAATTTGTCTACTTTTCTGTCAACAGAAATCCAGGGAGATTCTTCTTATTTACCAACCTGTTCTGTTCAAATTAAAGTTTTCTTCTCTTAATGACACTTAGTGTGACTTCTTTGGACAGTTGCTCTGCTTTTATTTTTCTTGCTTGTACTTTCCAAACTTCCAATGTAGCCACTAAAGATTCAGGGCATTAGGCCATTCTTTAGGCCTCTCATTGCACAAAAGGGCTTCTATACAATATTTCACATGCCAAAGAAGGTAAATCATGTCCTACATATTACAATTGTTTTTAGAGTTGTTTAGGGGTTGTCTCTGATTTATAAAACCTATTTGTGTATAGATCCTCATTTAAAAAAAACTTTCCTTATACATATTTATATTAATCAAATAGGTCTTTGTACTGCTTACTACACAAAGATTTCAATATATAAATATCCGGCGACTGAGGATGGATGCACAATCCAATGCAGTAGCTACCAGTTCCACTGTAGCTTGTTAAATCTAAATTAATTAAAATCAAATAAAATTAAAAATTAGTTCATCGATCACACTAGCCACTTTTCAAGTCCTCATTTGCCCCATGTGGCTAGCAACTACCATGTTGGACAGAGCAGACAGAAGACATTTTCATCATCATAGAAAAGTCTATCAGACAGTGCTGCCCTTCAAGATTACTATAATTTTTGCTTCTTTTTTAAAGGAGAAAAAACAAAACCCACATTATAGTGTTGTATTTTTATGTTCCCAAGGGCAAGAGATATGGTTCCCAACTGCCAAAATTCTAGACAATCAATAGGAAATCCTGGTACAATCATGTGAGTTTTACTCTGCGTTATTCATCTTATTTTACAGTTCAGAAAACACCAGCGGTCATAGGACTTGTCCCATCATCTGCACAAGGCTGGTGAATGGCTCAGGTAGAATGAAAACTGACAACCCAGACCACTTAATCTGTGGAGAGTCCAGGGGCCAGACACAATGAGGATAAGCACTGCAAGGAAGACGATCGCAAACCAGCCTCTGGAAAACCCATCCATACACGCTGCAAGTTCTCTTTTTATAGACTGAAATGGAAGTGTATTTATTTGGTTTTCTATATAAATTTTCCTTGGAACTGAGGGCTTATTCACTTCATTACCTCCAGCAGACTTATAGTGAGAATAGAATTTGTCAACAATTACTTAATATGGAAACTTGGCAATGTAGAAAATGATTTTACATTCTTAAACTTGAACAAGGACATTCAGACAGCAGAAAAACTAATTAGTTTAACCCTTGGTAACAGAATAACTGACTTGATTAGGAATTGAGCATGGGTGTAGCAATGCTTAGTTGTACTGATTCACAAGAGCAGAGCCTATTGTTAAAATTTCAGAAATTCTGCAAACTTGTTGATGCCATAGAGTCTTTGTTAAAAATTTAATTATGTAGACTCATAATTAAATAAATTACATCAAAAACAAAGCTAAAATAGTTGTTATTTCTTCATGATGTCCTACATTTTATTATCTATACTTTGAGGTTATTTATATTTACTATATCTGCTCAGTGAAAATACTATGTAATGATGTGCTGCTGCACATCTTCTCCCAACTCCACATTCAGTCATGTCACGTTAGTAGATTGAAATTGGCTATAGTTGGTGTATTTACACCATGGAAATCAGCAAACACTAAAAATCATGGCTGGATGTATTGTTTCTTGATTGCTTAGACTTAAGAAAGTGATGGAGCAAATGTTGATAGTGCAGATTAAGGCTTAAAATGTGTTGTATCTGTTGCATTGTGAATAGTACAAAGAATTGACAAAATGTTAGTATTTAAAAGCTATTATTTCATTTATAAAAGAATACATCATTGCCAAACACAAGTTCCTAGATCTCTATACATTGTTTTCTCAAGAATCAGTTGTTAAACATTTACCAGCACATAACTGAACTAGGAATGCTTTGATTTTTAATAGGCTCCCAAATTAATTTTTGTAATTTTATGTATGTAGATTACCTAATTTGGTAGAATGATTTGGTGTCACTGAAACCTGAAGATTGGGCCAATGATTACATTAGAGGGTGACAATGATATAACAGAATTTTTGCAATGTAATTATAATGCCTGAGAGACTTATTTTATTCACAGTATAGCTGCATATACATAAGTTATAGTTATTTTGGAGAAAAGAAAAAAAATAATTCCTAAGACCACTATTTTCTTTTAAACGAAGTGTGTCTTGTTAAAGAAACGGATCTGTGAATCTGAGGAACAGGATTAGATATGCAAATATGGATCTGAAACTGAATGAGAGAGAAAGATTGAGTGCTAAATACCCCTACAAAAAATCAAAATATAAGACCTTGTGTGGCCAGGCACGGTGGCTCACAGCTGTAATCCCAGCACTTTGGAAGGTCAAGGTGGGTGGATCACAAGGTCAGGAGTTTGAGACCAGCCTGACCAACATGGTGAAACCTCGTCTCTATTAAAAATACAAAAATTAGCTGGGCGTGGTGGCACACCCCTGTAATCCCAGCTACTCAGGAGGCTGAGGCAGGAGAATTGCCTGAACCTGGGAGGCAGAGGTTACAGTGAACCAAGATCGTGCCACTGCACTCCAGCCTGGGTGACAGAGTGAGACTTCATCTCAAAAGAAAAAAAAAAAAAAGACCTTGTGTTTGATATCAGTCCTTAATAAGGGAAGGCATAATGTAATAGGGATGCCAAAGAAGTCAATGCAATATTTAGTGTGACTTTAATGATAAGAAAAAATAAGCAGATATAGCCAAAACTTATAATAAGACAGAAGTTCAGTGTTTAAGATGATATAATCTCACTTCATGCCACTTAACCTGAGTGCTCCTTGAACTTTACTGTGCATGTAAACTGAATTCCAATTCTGTAGGCTTAACATAAAACCTGAGGTTTTGCATTTTTAACAAACTCACAGGCAATGTTGGTTCTGCTGGTCTGTGGGTCACATGCTGCATAGTAAAGACCTTCTACATCTACATATGCAAATCAACATATGTAGAGGCTTAATGTATGTGTCTGCTGCTGTTGTTTTTGGTAGAATTGACAGGAAGGGACTAAGGGACACAGTCCCTTATGTATAACATCATGTGGACTGGGGAGTAACCTGCACAGGATGGACAGAAAAATCCCTAAACTCAGCTAGTTTAAAAGAGACAGGTGCTCAGACTCAGACATCCATAATACTATTACTCTCTTGGAAATTCGAAGTGAGGTACTAGACTTCTACGTGATGTCGGCTAAGGTATTGAATTTATTTCAACTAAAGGGGTGGGAAGACCTGGGTAACATATGGTTACGGAGATCCTTTTGAACAGTATAGATGCTCTGTGTTTCTCCTTCTGTACGTTAATGATCTTGCTATTTTTCTTCAATCTGGAATATCATCCTTAGCCTTTTTTCTGACTCCTGGCATCATCCGCATGCATGGAGACCCAGTTCAAATGTTCACTTTGCTCTCTAAGTGCTTAGAGAAAGAAACAACAGATGTAGAACTTCAGAAGGCATCTCTAATTCTTCCTCATCTTTGTATGGCCTGGTTTTTGGATTTTTTTAAAAAAGCACTACATGTAGGAGAAGTTGAAATGGTGAGTAGGCAGGTCATTTAAATTACAGTTACTTTTATTGGTTCTACCTAAAAATAAATTTGCTGAGGAGATTTAAATGTATAAGCCTTAAATATTGAAGTGAAGTCAGTGAGGGCTTGACATTTATATGCTTACTTCACTCTTAAATGAGATGGTCAGCTCATTAACTTAAAACATTCTTTTGTGGAGAAAGAATTTCTCTTTAACTTATTTTTCTGACATTAATTTAGTAAATTATTTGTAGATATATTGATAAACAGTCAGGGTCAACATTTGGGTGAATGGCTTTGACCTTGTTTGTATTCCTATCAAGGTAACAAGTAAGACTAGGTTCCATACACAATTAGTCCAGCAGTGAATAAAGGATGGTCACATGTTCAGGGATGTGGGAATATGGAGTGGGTGTGAGTAGAAGGAGTACTCATCACACCGTAAGAATGCTAAAAATCTAGCACCGGCTTCAGCAGAGAGACAATTTGGAAATTTTACTTTGTCTCATCTCCTTTTTCTAAATCTCTTTTGTGATCAACCATAGGACCAAAGAATTTCTCAAATCACCAAGAGCGCTCAAGGTTACTTACTCTGGGACCTGATGGAACCCCCCAGAATGGCTATAGCTTCTCTGAGTTTACATAATCTTGAATCCAACACATTTTTGTAATTTTGAGACAGTACCTTTGGTTCTCGATTCCTCTCATCTTGCCATTTCCTTAAAGCTTTCCCCTGTGTACCTACAACACTTTACTCTTGTCTGGGTTCAGTTTTATCAGTATCACTATTTTTGTTCCATTTATTGCAATAAAGTGGATGCGTCAGTTCTCTGTGTTTGAAACAACACATAAAGACATAAAGACATCTCTCATTTTCTGAGTGGTCCTATAAGCTAGAATAACCTGTCTTTTGCCTGGTAATAATATTACAGGAAAACTAAGAATAATTTGTTAAAGATCAGAAATAAGTCTTACCCTTCAGAATAAACTGAGATTCCTCCTGAGTCCAGCCTACCAAAATCAAGCCCAAGTGAATTATAGTTTTTTTTTTTTGATGCCTTTCTACCTTCCCACAAGGATGCATTTAATTATCAGTCTTTGTCAAAGATGTGGTTTCCTTATGCTATCTTTGACATGCTAAAGTTGTCATCTGTGCCTCAAATTTCTCTCCTTCTTTTCCATTTCTCCCAAACACCTGTTCTAACACTGGTCCAATCAAAAGATTTGGTAAAACAATTCACAATAAAGCACTGGTGACTTTGGTCCTGTCAAGATAGTTTATACCTTCAGGGTTCTTTTATTTATCAAAAACAAATGAGTACATATTAGAATTATCAAGGGACTGGTTACCATTCTGAAAGTCCAAATCAAACCTTCATTCCTCCTGTAGCTAAGGGTGGCCCTTGGTCCAAATGGCAAGTTGAGGACAGCCAGTGTTCAATAGGACACAGGATCTGAAAGGTGGGCATGAGGTCCCCAACGAGGCTGCTCTTCAAGTTAACCAGCATTGTTTCTTTAGTTTCAGACATATAGTAGACTCTCCTAGTACCCATTCAGATCCCATTTACACGTTTCCATACCCATTCCTCAGCTATGATGACTGCTAGTTCCTAATGACTCATGGCAGCCTCCTTCTCTAGAGTTACTCTCAACCTAATGGGAGCTGCTTTACCTTGGACATTATGCCCCTGAGAATAGGAGGAGGGTCGGGACAAACTCCCTCCCTCAAGGTTGTAAAAAACCTGTGATTCATCTATACTCCAGAATCCCTTATAAACCAAATGAAGCTGGTCTCCAGATGAGAGTACATCTTTGTTTAGTTTTATTAAGGCCTTTACTATCCTGCTTCTTTTACTCCCTTTCTCCTGAAAGTAGTATCTCAATAAATTACTCATAGAAGAATTTCTATCTCAGGCTCTGCTTGTAGGACACTGGTACTGGGAATGGTTCTAAGAAAGAAACCGTACGGATGGGATTCTGGAGTTGAATTATTCACTGGCCAGATGACAGTACATCCTGGGTTGGTGGAATCCTGATAATTCCTGGCCAAGATGTTCACCTGTGGTGAGCTGGCAGGGGGTGATGAAGGGAGAGACACTGACTGATGACACTGACTGATGAAGGGAGAGACACTGACTGATGAAATGTCTCTGGCATTTCAAAGGAGCCTGGAAAATAGTAACTCTATAGGCCATGGAATTTTTTCGCTTTTGCTAGATGTTGTAGATCTGCAGATCATGATAATCTCGGATCTATTAATTCATAGTTTGATGTAAATATGAGTCAGAGGGCCTCCTTAGGAGCATTTAAAGAAATCCTAATTTCTGTAAATGGAGGGCAGACAAAACTGATGGCTTGAAACAGAGCTTAATTGGAAGAGGCAGAAAATGTTGGAGAAAGTTGAATTCTCAACCTAGGGAAGTTTCCTAAGCCAAAGTCAGAGTTCTGATTGGGGAGTGAAAGCCCAAGATGGGAATATCTGGGCAGCCTCACTTCAGTCTCTTGAAACCCCAGACTTCCCTGAACTCTCCATGTTTTAAGAATTGACCACTTTAATTGGAAGATAAAATTCCCTTCTCCCTGTGTGAAGATCGTGTAGAGTTCTCAGAACAGACAGGAAATCTCTAGGAAAATGCTTGCCTTCCTCAAGAACTGTTCCTACTTCTTTTGCTCACCAGACCCATAACTTGGGTCAAATTTCAAATTTCAGCAAAATTAACTGGAAAGTGCTAGATTGCTAAAGGAGAAGTGGTATTAAATACGAAAACAGCAGCTGGACCTGGTTAACACGTACTGACAGGAACAAGGGCATAGGGCTTGGGAATCCTGAAGATGCCGCTAAGTGAGGGAGTAACATCAAACTGGAGAAGGAATAGAGTGT